CCACCTCATCAATCTTAACCATCTTCCTTTTGGCTCTGATGTGGTCCTTCACCAACTTCTGGTCAAAGTATCCGGCTGTTTAGCAGTTTTAATACTTCACTTTTTTTAAAACCAGCTAGTCTCTAACTGTGTTTGGTGCTGAGCAGGTAAAGTACAGTGGGCCATGAGACCAACAATAAGCTTAAAGAGGCTAAAGGCTACCAAAGGGTTGCAGAGAGATTGTGGATCATTTGCTGTTGAGGTTTAGAAACTTTCGAACTCTGAGAGTTTCAAAACCATTTTAAACATTGAAAAATCTGTAGTCTTTTTCAAGCTAACAGTAATGTCTTGTTAGGACGACTGACAATAGTTATATCTATCTGTAAATGTTGTGGTTGTCTGCTAGAAGCTATCATAAATGTAACACATTTTGCAATGCATTTAGTTGTTCCCTACAATATGTTTTAAACCGGATGAAGGATCTTAGTCATTGGATGTCTGGATCTTAAGTTCTCAGAGAAACAAGCTGAGCAAACATTAGTGTCAACTCAGCTCTCAGACCCCTGGGACGTTCTTTCCTGCAGAGGAGAGCTGGGGAAACACTGATTTTTGACATGAAACTGCTTTAACTCAACATGTTTACCGGGTGTAAATCACAGGCAGGAATAAAACCTTCTGAACACCGAAGGCAATATTTGTAAGAAAATAAACCCACACTACTTCACAATACCGCAAACACTTTTGTTAATGTTTTGATTGAGAGACCCCAAGTGGGCAGAACATGTGAGATCGTGCCTATAAAGTTCAGTTTAAGGCAATCCTTACATTGACAGATACCAACACAAATAATAATTTACAACTGGATTCCACAGTATGTAAATTGCAACCCAGTCTCACGGCATTTCGTGTTCACCAACACGATTTTTAATCTATTGATTCGTGTTCACCAACACGATTTGCCCCTTTTTTTCGTGTTGCACAGCACGATTTTAAAAGCAATGTATTTCTACTGCCTGCAGCACGTCTTTTTCTCCGGTCGGGTCGAGGAGACCGGAAGCTGTGTGGTTCATAAAAACATGTTCTTACTCAATATCAAGCCACAGTTATTGCTTTTATTTGAAATCGTATAATTTCGGACTTTTGTTGCCGTCTGTGAGGAAAATAAATGGGGCTCAGAGCCTCAGAATACGGAAATCTGTATTTTTAAATATTTTTTTCCTTCTAATTCGATATTCTTTTCAAAATAACACACTGTTATTTACTCACCAATAACACACAATTATCCTTGCTTTTATTTATTGGTTTAATTCCATAATCTTGGGCTTTTTTGGCGTCCGTCAGGAACTGAATTTCAAAATAAAAATAACCGGAAACAGACGTAGGCCTCTAGGAGTTTAGGATGGCCGAAGACACTACACTACCCATAATCCCCAGCTATCGTTTAGGACTACAGTCCCCGTAAGGTTACGCAAGAGCGTCAAACAGCTGTGTGAAATCGGAACGAAACCACGCCAGACTATCCAAAACTGGAATCGAAACGCCCCCCCCAGAACTACACATGCTGGCTATTGTGTTTCGCAAAATGTTCTATGGGACGTCTCTACTGAACGTTTTCGTTTTTCCCACAATTAGAAGTTGCCAGTATTAAACACATTGGTGTTATCAAATGTAAAACATATAATTAATAAATGGGTGAAAATCGCTTGTGTCCATAATGCGCAGCATTAATACCCAAATGACAGCTCATTGTTACTTTGTAATTCGACTCACTACAATTCAGAGGTTACCTGGTATTTTACTCCACTGCATTTATTTGAGTTACTTTGCAGATTCTGATTAATTATGTGAAATATAAACAACCCTTAAATCAGACTTTAGTTACACCTGAGTAAAATTCAGGTAAGGTGATTGTCAAGTGCCAACAATCAGGAGAGATATTTGATAGTTGGTGCTTGAGAAGACTAAACATGTATCTGCAATTGACATGAATGGAAATGAGTAATAAAGTATATTCATTACTCGTTATTCTCTACTAATAGTTAATTAAAGACTGTATATTATGGCTATTTTGCACATCCCTTTCAAGATTTTCAAAGGTGTATTGACATATCATATACACAACTACGGTGTAGTTATGCAATGAATGAAACACTTGGGTCACAGGTTCCTCAACAGTGCATTACAAGACATCTATCAATATGTGTGTACCTCCACCATTAAACTGTCATATTCTGCACATTTCTTATTCTATCTACATACATAAGAGTATAATTCATATGTATAATATCAGTTAAAATAAGTGCTTCAACATAGTTAACATTGCAGGAAAGCAATATATTAGACGTTAAGTACTTTGTCAGGCTTAATATTTATCTGTAGATAGATACCCCCAAAGTTTTTTCTTATTTAAAAGAAGACCTTAATCTGTTATTTAATGTTTAAATAAAGGTTAATTCGTTTTTCTGTTTTGCACCTCCTCCTATTAATATCTTTGTACATTCTGCACTAAACTGTTTTATTGTAGAGATCACTTATAGTATCTTCTTGATTTTTTATATTCTATATTTATACTTTCCCCCTATGAAAGTATGTACTCTTAATATTTTTTTAATCAAATAAAACACAATAATTCAATAACGTGCTTTAACCACTAGGCGGTGCACACAAGGTACACACAGCCATAATAACTTTGTATTATTAGTGTAGGACACTTTTGTTTTCGTACAACATCTGAAGATGTGTAGTTTTATTCATGCTTTCACATAATTTTACAGCATATTGCTATACTATTTCAGACTCAGTATTTACATTCTTACATTCAAAGAAAATCAGTAATATTTTTAAAAACTACAGTCCTTTTATATCAGCTGTGCACCGTTATGGTGTAAATATAACCTATCTACGAATTAGATCAAATGTAAAAGTCAGCCGAATTAGTGTTGATACTGCAAGGAGACGTATTGTGTGAAGAGAAATTGAAGATGTTGTTTAATTGTTGAATATATTTATGATCCACGTCAAGTATTCAGTTTCGGCGGCATTTTGCCATTGCCGTTATGTGATGACTTTCAAAGAGAAAAGCAAGAACACTCGGAATAAAGTATTATTTTATTCTTTTAAAATGTTTTCCGGATTTCATATCATATAAACACCAAATCCCAGCATGCATTGCGGCTAAAACATCCAATAAACGAGCTTAAAACCATAGCTGAGGATCTTGGGTAATCGCTCGAAATGCCTACGTCTGTTTCCGGTTATTTTTATTTTGAAATTCAGTTCCTGACGGACACCAAAAAAGCCAGAGATTATGGAATTAAACCAATAAATATAAGCAAGGATAATTGTGTGTTATTGGTGAGTAAATAACAGTGTGTTATTTTGAAAAGAATAACAAATTAGAAGGAAAAAAAGATTTAAAAAATACAGATTTCAGTATCCTGAGGCTCTGAGCCCCATTTATTTTCCTCACAGACGGCAACAAAAGTCCGAAATTATACGATTTCAAATAAAAGCAATAACTGTGGCTTGATATTGAGTAAGAACATGTTTTTATGAACCACACAGCTTCCGGTCTTCCTCGACCCGACCGGAGAAAAAGACGTGCTGCAGGCAGTAGAAATACATTGCTTTTAAAATCGTGCTGTGCAACACGAAAAAAAGGGGCAAATCGTGTTGGTGAACACGAATCAATAGATTAAAAATCGTGTTGGTGAACACGAAATGCCGTGAGACTGGGTTGGTAAATTGTCTATTTTATATACTAATTATGGTCAGTTCGTGGTTTGATCTAGCCCTACATTTAGTGGCATTTATCTGACTTTAGAAAAAACGCTCAATATGAGGTACCATTAGAAACCCAGTTGTTAACAGAACAAGTTACCGCTCCATGACAAATCTAAGTAAAAGTGTGCGTAATTAAAAATATATACATACAGTTAGTTTGTCCACAACCTAAAAATCACATATGCAAAGTAGCTGTTAGAAGCTTAAGTGCAGATCTCTTATATTTTTACAACACTGATACAATAATCAAACATCATCAAAATGATGATGATGTTACATAAAAAATTCCTGTTGAAGCCAATGGAAATGTACAAGCTGACGTCGGTGTGTGAGCAAGTACTGTACATGCATGACTGTGTGTGTGTACCTTCTTGTGAGTGCATGTGTGTGTTTGTGCAGACCATCAGGCTAATCTGTGGTTTGTTTAGCCAGAGCTGAGGCAATGTTGGGGATGTAGCGGAGGGGCTGTTTGAAGAGCAGGGTCTTCACTCCTGCCGCCTAAACAGCAAGCTTTAATTTAAGGCTCCATCCAGTTGCATTTCATGACAAATAAACAGACCCCTTAGCAGCTGGGGTTTTTGTGCCTGGGAGCGCGCTGCAGAGTGCTATTTCTTTGCTCGATTGGCAATGCTCAGCAGGGCGGATTGTCTTTTGGACATTTAGCATCTTTACACAACTGCAGAAATAGCAGCCAGTTAAAAACTCTTATTTCTCCCTGTTGGCTGCTTCCAGAGTGGATATTGTAGAAGGGCAATTAAAGTAGATTAAAACCAACCACTTGACATGATAAATGTGGGTAGAATGGATTACAATTACTGTAGCAGCATGCAAATAATCACTTTCCCCCTTCCATTTTTCTTTGCTGTGTCCTTATCATGGATCCAGCTATTGAATTAACCCCAAGGAAACAAGTCGTAATTCTTTTCAGCATTATTGTAACAATATCAAAAATCACATTACTACACTGTATGGAAAATAATACCAAAAAACAAAACAAATAAGCTGTTATCTTATCTGATTTACGTGGACAAACAACAGCCTGTGACATAGTACAATACCAAAAACATACTTATTTTGAGCTCATTTTAGGCCCTTTGAGTAATCTCCGGGGCTGACTGGCAGCTGTCCACGGTCCTAGCTAGAATACTGCATTCCAGCTAGGACCGTGGACAGCTGCCAGTCAGCCCCGGAGCTTACTCAAAGGGCCTAAAATGAGCAGAGTGTACGTCTCTGGGGTCAGAAGTGCTCGGGGACCGTGGGATGATGGGTGTTTTGGATCAAGAGAAGGGGGCACGGGGGTCATGAGGGCTTTCTGGCTCTGTGAGGTGACAAGGGGGTGAAGTCCCGCTGTGACCGCTTGTTGTTCCCACTGTACAGAGATGAGATGGAGGCATTGGTGTGGGCCAGCGGGTGAGGCCGAGCCCTCCGAGGATAAAGTGGGCCCCCCCTGAGCAGCAAGACATCCCGCACTGCTCCCCGGAAAGGCTTACTGACGAAGCAGTAGAGGAAGAAGTTGACAGCTGTGTTGAGCATGGCCAGCATGTTGGACAGGTCGTAGGCCAGGTGGACGCGCCAGTCTCGGTGAACTGAGGACACGTACAGATGGTAGATGACCACTACTGTCCTGGGGGCCCACAGCACAGAGAACACAGATGTGATGGCCAGCAGCATGGCAGTAGTTTTTCCAAGTAGCCGCGGAGACGCAATCTTTGACCCGCCCTCCTCCTGGCATGGCTGCTGCCTTTGCCTCACCCTCAATTTGTGGATTATCAAAGAGTTCAGCAACAAGAAGATGCTGCAGGGCAGGAAGTAGATTATAGTTACATGCGTCCATATGAGGACGGTGTCCAGGGCTGTGGGGGGGTTGCTATTCCTCCACATGTCCGACCACCAGAAAAAGGGCACACCCGATACGAGGGATAACCCGAGGACCACCCCAATGATCTTCCTGGCCCGGGCCGGGTAGCTGATCTGGCGGTGGAGGAGGGGGTGGCACAGCGCCACATACCGGTCCACGGTGAGGGGCACGGTGGACCAGATGGAGGCGTGGTTTGCAGCAAACTCTGCAGCGCTGACGGAGTGCAGCAGAAGTATGGGGACGTCTCGGTGAAAAACTGCCGTCTCAAGCAGGAAGCCCACAAAGATGATGAAGAGTTGGGAGAGAATGTCTGAAGCAGTCACGGCCAAAAGGTAGTAGTACAGAGCTTTCTTAGTGCGGGATGCTAGCCTGGATAAAGCCACGGCTGTGAGGATGTTGACTGAAAAAAACAGAGACATAATGGAAAAGTTGTAGAAAATTAGTTGTATCTTAAGATCTTAAATATATGGCTCATATTTATATTTTCAACTCCTGGAAACGTATTTAATGTAGCCAAGGTTAGCTGTGTGGCTAGCTAAAGCTGTAGTTTGGCTTGTTTTTAGCTTTGTTTGGAAGTTAATGAAATTTCACAAAACAGGAAACACTAATAAATGTAGCCTAGATTAGCTGTGGCTAAGAGCATGTTAGCTTAAAGAGCCTGTGACTGATTGATTGATTGAAAAGTTTATTAACAGCTTGTATATTGGGTACAGTACAGTACAGCTCAAAACATACAATTGTTAAGGGGATGCAGACCAGAGAAAGACTTTCGTCTTGTTTACATCAGGGTCCCCCATTTCCAATCCATCATATCATTTAAGACATATTTGACATACAGATGGCTTATTTACAATTTACATACAGGTGGTTTTTTACATACAGATTGCTTGTTTACAATTTTCATTTTAGATTTCGTTCTAATACATCCTAACCGGACATTTAAGACATACCAAGTCTACAGATATACAGTTAGTAACAGAGTCTAAAATGCGAGTATATACATAGATGGGGGGGGGGAAGCTGTCCATTGAACGACAGGTTGAGATTTGTACCATTACCGGGGCCAGTTTTGCAATGCTCTCCCCCGAAGGTGCTCTTTAAGAGAGGTTTTGAAGGTAAGTATAGTTTTACTTTCCTTTACAGTTGTGGGAAGAGCGTTCCACCTTGATGTGGCATAATTGCGAAACGTGTATTCCCCCTTTTTTGTGCCAAATCTGGGTTTCACATGATTTGTGGAGCTCCCTCTGGTGTTATTATGATCATGGTATTCCTTGACCTTTGGGAAGAATTTTGACATGTACATGGGTACCATAGAGGTGTAGTGGATCTTGTAGACTAGGCCCATTGCAAGTAGCTGTACTCTGTCGTCTACTCTAAGCCATCCTAGGTTGTCAAAGTGGGCAGAGGTGAGGTGGGTTCTAGATGAAAGGTCAAGCAGTAGTCTGACCAGTTTATTTTGCGATGTTTGAAGTTTTATTTTTAGCGCCTTGGAGGTGCTATGGTACCATGACGTGCAAGCATAGTCATAGTACCCTTGAATGAGTGCTCCTGCCAGAGTTTTCAGGGTGTTTTTGTTTACCAGAGAGGAGATCCGGTATAGGAATCTAGTTCTTTGATTGACTTTTTTTATTACATTGGATGCCATTTTGTCACAGGAGAGGTTTGCCTCAAGAATAGATCCTAGGTATGTAATTTCCTTCTTACTTGTGACAATAATGTCGCCCACTGCAACTGAGAAGTCGTCGGATTTGCTGAGATTATGTTTCGAACCGAAGAGAATGGACTCTGTTTTACCCAGGTGTAATGATAATTTATTATCGGCGAGCCAGGTGCAGATTCTGCCGAGCTCGGAGCTGAGGGTTTTTTCAACCTGCAACCTGTTCCTGTCAGAGACCAGCAGGGCTGAGTCGTCCGCGAACAGGAACAAGTTGCAGTCACATGCTGATGACATGTCATTTACATAAATTAGGAACAGTAACGGACCTAATATGCTTCCTTGTGGAACACCACAGCTCACTGGGAGGGGGGGGGGACAGAGTACCGTTTACCTCCACCATCTGTTCTCTGCCCTCCAGGTAGGATTGCATCCAGCTCACCGATAGTTTATCAAAACCAATTGCTTTTAGCTTGTCAATCAGAATGGGGTGATTGACAGTGTCGAAAGCCTTTTGTAGGTCCAGCATCACCATGCCGCAGTACTTGCCCTCGTCCACCTCTTGTTTGATGTGGTCGCTCAAATAAAGAAGGCATGTGTCAGTGGAGTGGGATGTTCTAAAGCCAGATTGAAATTCATAGATTAGTTTCTTTTCCGCGAGGTACTTTTCGACCTGTTCATATACTATTTTTTCCATGACTTTCGGGATGGAGGTAAGTATAGAAACAGGGCGGTAGTTGCCTGGGTCCAATTTGCTGCCCTTTTTGTGCAGGGGGGTTACTCTTGCAATTTTGAAGTCTTTGGGTACTTTTCCCTGTTTTATGGAGAGGTTAATTATGTGAGCTATGACTGGTGAGATGGCGGTTGCTGTGTCTCTGAGGAATTTGGAGGGGATATTGTCGTGACCAGTGGCCTTGTTAGGTTGGAGGGCGCTCAGTTTAATGAGTACCTCTGCTGTGGTTACCCTTGCTAGACTGAAATCATCTTTGCGTACCCCTAGGTTTTTGTAGTAGGTCATGATGTGATCGACTCCAAAAAGCCCTGAGTGGGAGGGTAATTTATTTACAAGAGTTGTGGCTATGTTTGTGAAAAAAATGTTCAAGTACTTGGCCACATCCAGTTTGTCTGTGATGAGCCTGTTATCTGTCTTTATGTTTAAGTTAGAAAATCTCGTTTTGAGTTTTTTACTGCAGCCAAGCTGGTTATTGAGTAATTTCCAAAGTTCACGGGGTTTATTTTTGTTTTCCTCAGTTTTGACATTGATGAAATTCTTTTTGGCAGTTTTGATCATGGAGCTTACGTCATTTCTTAGTCTGTTTCTTTCAATTTTGAGTTTTGAGTTCAGTCACGTGGGCCTGGAGTTCACTGCTCGTGCTTTTGGAAAGCATTGACTGACTTTTATGAAACTCAGAGCATTTTTTGTCTCTGGTTTTCATGGCGGTCAGTATGCCGGAGTGCATCCACGGCTCAGCGCGATTTTTTACAGCGATTTGACAGCCTCCCAACAACTGTTGTGCAATGAAATATTGGGCTACTAGTCATCTTGAACCGTCAGTTTAAAAAAGAAGGTGCAATACCGTTCCGATAAATATCAATAATTTCGAACATCGCGGGGAAATTCCATCGACTCATTTTGAAGTTTTGGGGAAAGCCGGAAGTGACGTCAATGCGGGAACGCTTCACTGTGCGGAGAGAGAGCCAAACACGGACAAAGTGTGTTGTCATGTGTAGAAATTGTGAATTACTGAGTTTAGGCACGTTAATAACGTTTTAATGAAGTTGACTACAGTATATTCATATTTTTCAGTGCTTTCATGTCAATTCGGCGAACATAAACATAAATGATCGTGGTGAAGATGATTAAATTAGGATTAAAATCGGAGCTGCTGAATTCCCTCCCGTCAGATGTGATATAAAAACAAATCGATTATTTTTGTAGTTGTAAACTCAAGTGGATGAAACTACATTTATTAGTGCTTTCATGTCAATTCGGCGAACATATGATAGATTAAATGATCGTGAGGATGATGATTTAAAAATCGTTTGTTTGAGCCGGTCTGCATTTCCTGATGAGAAAACAAACCGATGCTTTTTGTAGTTGTAGTACACCAACATGGATTAAACGTGTGTTTTTTTTTACCACAATGTTGGGGAAATTAATGGATAAAATGCATGGATTATTATTATTATTCCCACTCCGATCGGGACACTAGGTCCACCGTTTCCCCGCAGCGAGGCTCCCCCCGTTGACAGTTTACGTGGGCTGGGTGCAGTGGCGGACTGCCCATCGGGACGAATCCCGATGGGCCGGTACCGAAGTGGGCCGGTCGGATAAGTCACTAGCACATCCCCCACTCCCCCCGTTGACAATTTACTAGCGGTACCGTCCCGAAGTGGGCCGGTCGAGAGTCCCGGGATGATTTTTAGTCCCATTCCACCACTGGCTACATGACCGTATGATCGCCCATATTGACGCACCTAATTCCTAAACTTCTAACAGATACAACATAAAGCGATCCTTCAGCCTCATATGAGCTCTCAGACACGTTCAAAATTAAACTGTCATCGCTGTCTGAGCTTGCTGCTGTGTGCGCCATCGTGCGTTTACATGCAGATGCTGGGATCCTGAACGGTGCAGCTGGAGCGCTGTGCCCGCAATGACGTCACACATAATTTGGCGGGACTTGAAGAATCCCCGAGAAGATCCAGAAAATGGTCAACATTGAAGGGCAGATTAATGGTTATCAAAGTACAAATATCCAAAATCAGTTCAGTAACGGTTTTCAAGGGGACAATATTTACTCAAATTGATGGGTTTGGATGATGGAGGAAACTCGTGTCACAGGCTCTTTAAAGATGTGATAACTGCAGTTTGGCTTGTTTAGCTCTGTTTAGAAGTTTTTGCAAATTTCACGACTTCTTTCACAAAAATTATATATCTATATAACTCAATTTCTTTCATGGTGCAAAACATATGAAATTATTAATTTTAATGGTGCATTTGTAGGGAAAACATGCATTCATAGCAGTACTGTTGCCACACAGTATCTTTTTTACACAGCATCTGCAATCTGTTTTTCAAATCTTGTCAGCGGGATATTTTCTGTAAAATCACCCGTCTTTTAAGACCCCTTCCGGCATACAGCTGTTGACTCTTGCCCTTTGGCCTTTCTATTTATTTTCCTTTGGGAACAATTAAGTGACACATCCAAATGCTCTAGTGACACGTCGGCTTGTTTTGATAACCACTTGGTCTAAATCTCTGCTGGATCAATACCAAATCACCACCATCGACTTGTGCATGAAGCACAGTAATGAGAAAAATGCCGAGGTGAACGCTGTCCATCAATGTGACATTTATTTCCACTTAAATCAGGTGATACATTTTGAAACAGATACATTCCAAGGACACTTGGCCGGAGCGACGGACGAATGGATAAATACTCATAGACTCAAACACACTGATTGCGAGATGATTTGATTGTTGTAACCTGTGAAAAGAGCCATTCATGCTTGGTCATGTGCCACAACAGTGTGACTGGTCCATTAGAGCTCTGTAATGTACCTCTAACTCACTTGTGTATTGATTTATTCTGTCCTCTGCAGTTCCCACTGTTATAAATAGATATCAATGCAGCAATTTGTACTGTGATGGTGATTCAGTGCAAATGCAACATTAACAATCGTGTCGTACATCAATTAATATTCTGACTCAAATGTACATTTACCTAAATGACAAATAAGATATTTGACGTAAAAGACATGTTTTCTGGTAGGAGATATAGCTGGAGTTCATGGACTAATATTAAAGCAGTGGTAGCAGACGTCCTTGCCTTTGAAGACTCAAAACCATGGCGTATTAAACCCCAAGGTATAAGAAAAAATGAATTTTCTTTAACGGTCACCTATGATGCAAAATCCACTTTGTCATGTCTTTTATACAGAAATATGTGTCCCCTGTGTAAAGAGATTCTGAAAGTTTCAGGACCAAATATTTGTTCTCTTTTTGTCCTGATCTGTTTATATCAAAAACTGTGTGTTGGGTTGTGTAATTTTAGCCAATAACCAACCAAGGTAACACCCGCCCACCTTATCACCTGAATTTCCTCCTTTTTTAACCAATTATCTCGCAGAAGGGCGAGGGAAGTGGCACCTTATTTTCATCTAAAGTAACAGACACAGAATCAGCCCTTTTGAAACAGGGCTGAAACAGAGGGGATTATGGGATGCTGCAATTCATGATCTGTTTGGTATTTGGAACCAAACACTTCAGAGACATGTTTTGTCTATATCTGAGACGTATAATATATTGATGAAAAACAGTATAATGGGGGACCTTTAATTTGGGTGAACAAACAATGCAAACATTTCTCACTATAAGACATACCTGGCACTCCCACACAAAGCAGGATACTGTAGTAGATGACAGGGATGAAGCCCAGGACACATTTGGACTTCTGCAGCTCCTCAGGTTTCAGGCCCAGCTCCTGTTGGCTGGACGCTGTCACATTGGGCCAGTCGATCATGACCTTGGTGCTTCCCCTGGGAAATAAGACAGACAGAGACTCAGAGTTAGTGTTTTCATTAGGAAAGCAGGACTGGCTGTTTGTTGATAAAAAAAAATAAAAAAAAAGTTTTTTAAAAAAAAGGAAAGCAGGACACAAGGGAAAGCTGACGAATAATTGTGATCTTCTGTAGTTTTCCTATTCTCAATAAATCCTATGATAACCTAAACTACCTATGAAATGTTTATAAGTTTTGTGTCACATCAACGAGACACACTGGATGACGTTGTTATATGAATACCATGAACACACACTGTTTATTATTTTTTCAATCCCATATACACCTGCTGCTTTCACCAATACTAACTAAAGCACTAATTGTGGAAAATTCCACCACTGAAAATAGTCCCCATCAAATACACTTTTTAACTGTTTTAGTAAATTACTGAGCCTTTATCAAAAGTGAAACAATAATACTGTACTGTATGTGACATTTGTGTTTTAAAAAAGTGTGCATCTGTAGTTAGCACAAATGGGTTTGTCAGAAGGAAAAGAAAGACACAATTGCTTTGTAATACTAAAATGGATTTGAATTAGGATTTGGGTAGAGCAAATACAGATTTTGAAGCTTGAAAATAGAATATTTTGAGTTCAAAGGAAATATATTTTTATTTCAAATGCTTTCATGCATTAGAAATCAAGTCTCAACAAAAGACAGAATAGGATATTTTCATCTGAAATATTTCTAATGATCTTATGATTTTCTTTAATGACTAAACGGTTCATATTTGTGTCCAAATCAGAAAAATACACAGAGCCTCTTGTTGTGCTCACTTTTTGATTTTTTCTCTAAACCCCAAATAATATGTTTTGTGTATAACATTAAGATAATTATCATTCTCATTTGAGAAGCTGCAACCAAGAAATGGTTTAACATTTGTGCTTGAGAAATTATCCAAACAATTAATTGATTATCAAAATAATTGATGATGAATTATTTGTTGAGGGATTAATTGACTTATTGTTGCAGCTCTATCTTGCAGTCCCATAAATCAAGTGAAATAAAGCAGCTAAAAACACACTAAAAAACTCTCTAAAATACACCTTGTCTTTAGATAAAGTTTATTTTACGTAAATACAATTCAATATCAATTCATCATTGACAATAGGTCAGACTTGTTTAAGAAAACTATCAATATATAGACAACCTTGTATATACTGTGTGAAATATTTAATTCAATTTAATGAATGTAGGGCCTAATCATAACAGAAGCTGGTTTTCAATCTTCATAATACTATTTACAGAAACCCAACAATATCAAGTGTCAAACCTTTGCAGATGATCACCTGCTTTTTATTTCTGCATCTTGCATTTTACTACAAGTGGTGTGATTCACGTTTGCTTTACGGAGCTGTTGCTGTTTTTCTGACACAAACTGTGGAAAACAAAAAGTAGGTACATTTGGACTCAGTCAATTAAACTGCAGGTGCACAACAGCAGATGGGCTGACAGTGACATTATCGTCCCGTCTCCCTGTCTAACCTTTTCACCCACTAGCCATCCATCCTGTTTTTCTCTGTCTGTCTCTCCTCTGCCTACTCTCCTAATTTACTTCACTCATCCATGAAGCTGTATTTGGACTGTGTTATCTCTTAAGCTTTCACTGGCAAACCATTTGTGGATGCTTAACCAACGTCAACATCATCGTGGAGCCATGAAACACCCAATAGGTGAAGCTGACCTCATTATGTGAGCGGGGCAATCACTACTTCTAACAGTTGGTCATATTTAATCACCCTGATAGTAAAGGCTATTTGTGCAAAATCCCTGCATGTGATTATATGACCTGAGCATTTTACGACTTTTAGCTGGAATGTGATCATAAAATTGAAAACATATCCTAGTGTTTGGCTGATTTCATTTCACAATAAAATAGCAGGAAGTCATGTAGTGAAAGCAATCAGTTCAACAGAAATGGCAAAATTAAGTAGCCTATGCTGTTTTGTTGAAATGAAAAAGGTCTGTGTAATCCAAACTATCGCAGGATTCTTTTGTTTTAAAGTATACTCAGGCCATTAGTTAGCGAACAGCCACCTGAAAATGGTTAATGATATATATTTGTGAATGATGGGGAAGTGAGATCAGGAAGAATGATGCATTGTTGTCTTCACATGTTAGAGTTGGCCTACAGGAGTGGGAGATTTGTCACAATCACATCTCATCTAACAACTGATAAATCTGGCTCCTTGATTGACGTCACCAGACAAAGGCACATGAAGGTCTTAGCTGTTCTATCTGAAATGTGTGAAATTCAGTCTTGTTTGTTCCAAATGTTTTAAATAATGCTAATGTTAACCATGGAATTGAATTGTTTTATCTGATATGCGTGTTATTGTATAACCATGTGTAAAAAAACTGGATAAAAATGGGAATGTCATGGAAATTATTTGACTGGATGTTTCACTTTAGACATATGTCATGGAATTGCAGGTGTACAAAAATCTATATTTCTAAGCAATTTAGGAACGAAAAGGTCAGTTTGACAGATCATTCTTAACCTCTTTTTTTAATTTTTTAACCCCAGTCACAGTTATCTACATTAAAAGTCAGAGTGTTTCCTTCAGCACAAAGTATTACAATAAGTCCATCAAAAGTACACTTCTTCAGAATTTGCAAAAAGATGTAAGCCTAGATCTGTTTCCAAATTGTTATTATTGTGCTTTTTGCTGCCTTGTTTACCTGTAAGACGTTCTCCTATTTCACTCTTGGTTACGTAACAACATCACATGTGCTGAGATACGATATCCTATTCAGTATTAATAGGAGTATTATTCCCATAGGAGGTTTAGAGCAGACATACAGTAGGCCTACATACAATGTTTGACCTTAGAGACGTACTTATGTGGCAGCTTGAAAAAAGTAGTAAAACTAGTGAAAGTAGTCTTGGTCAGTGGTTTAAAGTGTCAGAAAAGAGTAAAAGAAAATAATTCCATTTCCTAAAGCCACAGTAAAATTTTCCTTTTTTATGTTCTAGCATGTTAGCATTATTAGCTGCTAAATCGCTACTGCATGGAGTAAATAAGCAGTTGTGTAAGGATTAAATAGGAAATAATTCTAAAAGTCTGAATAAACTAAAATGACCTTCTAACACAAATGCTGCTTAGATTTACTTTAAAAAAATGGGGGAAATGGCTAGCAGACCAGAAAGGGAGTATAGCGCTGGCTCTTTCAGAAACAGGACATGCTTCTTCACAGGCCTCATCTCTGGACCAGGGGTAAGAAAGATGATCATTATAAATGAGAAGGTTGTGAAGTTGCCAGCAAAAACACAGCAGAAGGGAGCACTAATTACACTGAACAATCAATATTCCTGCAGCCACTTCTATAATACCGGCAGAGATCCTCCTTAATCCTGAAAGTGCAAATGAAATCTTGAAGCTGGGAGAGTTATCTGTCTCCTCTATTTACTCTTCATCACACTTTAGTCTCGGGGAAGTTTCCTGCGTCTAATCGCCATTTTCAGTCCCCTGGGTGCTACAGATTTTAAGTGGGAAAGGAGCATTAGAGGTGTTTAATTAAGTCCACTAAAGTCTTCTTTCTCAAGGGAAGTTAGGGGTAATGGCATGGCAATCGTATCGTACTGCTCCAGTCTAGTGTCAACAGGCGGAATCCTCTGGAGACTCCCTCCTAAAAGAACATACAATCTAAAAACGAATTCAAGCGACCTTTCACCTCCACTTAATTAAATGCATGGTTGCAAGATAAAAATGCGAGTTAATTGATTTAGATAAACATTTTAAGTTGAAAACATTAATTTATAAATTGTGTTGACGTAATAATGTTGGTAATTACATCAACTTAATATTGTGTGTAATTTGAACTCTGATTTCTGCGTTAATTGACTTAAAAACAAAATTCAAGTTGTAGTAAGTAATGCAATTGGCTTGATAACTTCATTGTTCTACACCTTGAGTTAAGGATTTCAAGTCCACTCCCACTTAACATGCCTGGACAAGTTCCTACAGTTAAGACACATAGAAATATACAAAGGACATTTTAAGGTGAGTGTCATCTCTTGTCATTCAAATGCAGTAGATAGCCTTGTTGTTGCACTGTATAGGCAAATTGCTGTTTGACCAAAATTAGCAGCCTTTGAACTGTGATTAGTTCTGTGAGAGGATACAAAGTAGAGGCTACTGTGAGAGTACAAATACTTTGGTTACTATTGTGATATCGCTTTTTATTCAAAATGAATCTCGGTGAAGCAGATCAAGGATGCTTCTTGAGGTAGGATCGTTATTTAGAGTTGTCATTGAAATGCAAGTTGTTGGCAGTCACGCATTCAGAATATATTCATTTAGGTCATTTATCTTTTTTCCTTTTTCAATAATAGCACAATACAATTGAAGTACGCAGAGAACTATAGCCATCCGCTGCCTTGTCGTGTACCTTGGAGAAAAGGAAGAGGACCTTTTCAAGGAGTTTAGCGACGTAATTAAAAATCTTGAAATAAAATAAAATCCATGGGCCAAGTGTAAAAACACAGGACAAAAGCACTGCTCTCTGTCAGCTACATTTTGAAGCATATTGCACTTTTGGCCACACCCCAATCAATAATATCTTAGCAACGTTCAGCATGGATAGGTGTTGGCAGCAATGGCATGGGAAAAGGATTGTGTAACATTTGAAAAGTGGCTTCTGCTCTTCTGCTCCAGTTCACATATTGTATGGAACCTGCTAATCAGATGAGAAGGTACACTAAAGCTTGCACGGTTGTGATTGACAAAATCTGTCCACATGCATTTAAACACTAGGCAAAGTACTCAAAACCACCTCTGTGTGTCTTCAGGACCACATTGCCATGACGACACACACATGCAGACTCAATAGATGAAAACAATACCAGCGTTGCTTTAGCAGATGGTATTAATGGCTCTGAATTCGCTAAGAGTGACAGTTTAAAAAGTATGCAGTTACCTAATTCATTATCTCTGATGCGCTAACCTATTATTTAATGTGCTTCAAAAGGACATGAATATCGCCTTCATCAGTGACCGGTCCACCCCAGGATCTGACCATACGATGGCAACCATCGTGGTCGAGGGAAACAAATGAATGAGCAAGCATTCTGCGTTAAATGTATTCATACTGTTTGAAATAATGACTGTCGGCAGTGTAAACATCTTTGTTACATCTTTTGTGAAATGGATGTGTGTGATCTGCAGACTGGTGGCCATTGAGAGTTTGTTTCTGTAGTTTTACAAAGACTTTACAGATGTTACACATTTGGCACTGGTTTTAAATATGCAACGGCCTCTAACTTCGATGTGATGGCAGCATGTATTTGCTGTGTCCCCATGTCCCATGGTAATATGGCTAATGTGTTTATTTATTATTTGTGGGGAAATTTAAATTTGTGTTATTTATCTTTTTTTTCAAGATTGAAATGAAGCTCAGTGCAAGTTCTTTCAGGAAGACTGGGTGTATATACATTCACTCCGCAGCTGCATATAATCAGCTCATCACAGGCGTTCTCTTTAACCTATTACATTTCACCTCATTCTCCAGCAGCCAATCAACGAGCTGCAGCCAAACTATAAAATGGTTCTCCTCTCTCCGGCAGTCAGCTGTGATTTCAGGTGTTCATGCACCTTATCATATGGCATGTGTGAATAAATGTTCAAACTAAATGAATTCTCTCCTCATTGAAACATCATGTGTTGAAATAAACAACTGCAGTTCAAAATAAAAGTGAATTGCCTAATATTCTTGTTGTGAAATCAATTAATTTCTTTCTTTAAAGGCAAAAACATGAAAAAGCTAAGAAAAAAAACTATTGAATACAATATATTTGGAGCAACTTAATTTATAAATGGTTGTCAACTTAAAATTCCTTTTAAATTATACGGTAAAACTAATTGGAACAACTTAATTTTTGGAGTAATCAACTTAAAAACGTGTATCCCGAATGAGGGTAATTAAGTACATACAACTTAAAATTCCTTTTAAATCATGTGGTAAAACTAGACGGAACAACTTAATCTTTTGAGTAATCAACTTAAAAACTTGTGTTTATGCTACCAATTATTAAGTAAGTGGTAATTAAAAACACCTCTGATTGTAGAGGAAAAGCCTTCTCCCCTAACTCAAATAACTTTGTTGCTTTAAGACAATTTCATTAGAAGTTGTCTTAACTCAATAAACATCGATGCAAACTGTTGCGTTGATTTTCTTTGTTGAGCCAAGGCATTTGTTTTTAGAGTGTACAGTAAGTCAACTCTATAAGGATAGTTTGGATTTTTTTTAAATTGGGTTGTAAGAGGAAATTATCCATATTCAGTTTATTACCAAGAGTACTTGCAGAATACAGGAGTTGCTGTTCTACTGTTGACTAGACTGTTTGCAGTTTTTATGTGTTATGCGTGACTTTGGTAATCCTGCACTAACCACATTTGAACAAAAACATACACCTACTTAGCGATGTAATCAACACTGATATTGATTTATTTTAGGTTGCTCACATATGTTTTTGCCACTGCCCATTTGCTCAGCAGCATTGCTTGGCTGATTGAATTTTATTATGGATTATCCCAAGGAAAACTAGCAAAATTGACAACACTTAACAAAAAATGTTCCCAATTGTTACAGTACCAAGAAAACACAACCAAGCACTAGACAACCAACATGAAAACAACTAAAAAACAATCTATACATTCCAAGAAAAATACAATTTACTCCTATAAAAAAACAAGGCAGCTAAAATAATATAAATATCATTGGACATTTTACTATAAAACTGTTACCCTGGTCCAAAAACAAACCCTAACCTAATTTCTTTAGACAATGAAAGACTAAAAACTACATAAAATACTTCTGACTAAAATGTTTACTGGAGGCAGTTAAGAAAACACACACTGGTCCTTGTCCTGGTATTGTAGTTATACTTAGGTTTTACCATTGTTATGTGAGAAGCTAAAAAGTACTGAGGAGCATAGTGATATTTTTCATATGATGCCACTTCTGTTGTTCTACTCTGAGCTGTCCTGGCAGCAATCCTACCTTCTTCAACACGTCAAAATGAGTTTGAATGGGATGCTCAAATATCAAATAATATTATTTTGCTTATCTTCAATGTGGTAACTCCTGCCTGTTTCTCCAAACTTAGGCTGTTCCAACCTCCATCTACTGTAGGCAATACACTGACAATGGATAAGTCCTCATACAAAACATGAGAACTGTCCCTTTAACCAGGACAGCTGATCCACCGCTCTGCAGATCAGAGGCCGAGGCATGTTTCTGATTAAGATTCTTCCCAGGGTTTAGACGCAGCCGGAGGCTATGGGACGGGGCTCTGCAGGGGGTTCAGTGCCCAGGAAGCTGGACTGAACTTTATCTATGCTCCACTGAGTCCTCTTAATAATTCATCAAGGGACCGTGCACCTGAAACAACAGCGCTGGGGAGATAAAGGGTGCTGCAAGCGTGGCCATACAGCAAACATATCAGTGTTTCACATGGGAACAAGGAGGGATGCATTCTTGTTGTTTACCAAGAAAGTAGAAGTTACTTTTGTTTTTATTTTGGAAGCTGCACTACAGCTTTTTGATGTATCTTAATGTAGGAACTTCAATGAATGTCTTCATCATGATGCTGTTAAAAGTTCATCCATAAGGCCAAGATCCTCGTTAGGAAGACATAATCCAGAAGTGCATTTGGCAGAAATGACATGCTAATTTGATGACAAATGTGACTTTCACTGGGTGTCATATAACAAGAAAACACTTGAGATAAATAAATGTTCTCCATATAAAAGACAGAGTTCAAGGCAATGTCCATTATTAAACAATTGGAAGTGAGTGTGTCCAGACACCCGGCTTCCCTAAATAACTTTATAACAAGACTGTACCTTGCACCATTCTTGAAGTAAATGATGTGTAACAGCGCTGATTGCACAAGAAACATAAACATGTAATCAGACATTTCTGCATAAACAGTGAATAGAAATAGTTTATTTGGCTTAGTATGGTCACTCTCACAGTCTTACCTTCACATCCAGTTCTCTCAGCAACTTTCCACCTGGTTTACAGCCCGAGCGGTCCTCTGCTCTGTCCTTCACCCCGATGCTGCTACAGACTCCCCGACATCACTGCTGGACACCCGCTGAGGAGACGTGGAGGAGGACGGAGAAGGGGAGGAGGAGGAGGAGAAGTGGAGTCCAAGCAGCTGGTTCATCACTGCAACGAGTGAGCGGAGGGAGAGGGGAGTGACACTGTGGAGAGGGCGAGGAGCGGGAGAGAGGGAGGGGCTGATCTGTGGAGGTGAGTGACTTGAGGAAGAAAATGAAAAAGAGGAGAGTACCAAGAGGAGACAGGAAATACTGATGGAAAACAATATAAAGTCAGATAAGGGTTACAAAATGTCGGGCTGTGTTCAAATACTTTTTTGGAAAATAGTCAAAATACATAAACACAAAGCTGTCAGAATGCAGATACATTTTTCCAAATTCCATACTATGTATTCACTTTAACTATAGCCTATGTAATAAGTACTAAATGTCAAATTGTAGCATTTGTATTCCACTTAGAATACAATATGTCCATGCACCTTACTGAATTGTAGTAGCTAAGAAGTATTAATATAACTTCACCCAATACACATTTTTCTTCTACTTTTTTGGTGATAGACTTACTCTTTTTATATGCGTGGGCCAAAACTCCATAGAGAGGGGAAGTCCCTCCCTTTCCGGTGGAACTCCATGGGACCTTATTTCGGAACATTATGTATTGAAGTCAATGGAGAGAGAAAACGTATCTTTCGATCCCGCTTGAATTGTGCCATGAGTTACACATATGATGTTTGTCAATTTAAAAGATAATTTTGCAAGTAAAAAAAAAATGTTTTTGTCGTAAAACTGTGAAGTAACGGGCTGTACAAGGTTTCGGTGAGTGTTAAACGAGTGTAATGTGTAACGTTAATGTCAGCTAGCTAACATTAGCTAACAAGGTACACTCCCGTGTTTTATTTTAGCAACTAGTTTTCTCGTTAAGAACTGCGTGATCGCTGTGTATGCTGTGGATAACATTGGTGTTGGCAAGGACAAGGTACATATGCGGCTTTCACACCAGCGCTTTTCCCTTTCTAGCTCCGAGCGGGAGCTTTTCTGGTTCAGCTCCGGTTTCCCTTTTCTGCTCCCGCTCTGTTCACACCGCCCAGAGCCCGACTGGTGCTGCCACTGCTGCGTCATGACGTCACCGTTTACATCGCTGATTTGCTCCCCAACGGCATTACGCCGCTCACAACAACGGGGAACTGCGTCGGGTCGATGATCGTGTTGCTTTTAATCACACGAAGCCAGATTAAATTAAATAACGACTTCTCCAACCTTATGCTTTTCTCCAGAGTGTCGTGGTTCATTGTTTATTAATGTGTTTCTGCGGCATTTACCGACCGCTGCAGTGTTGGCTGCTCTTCCACGGGAGTTTATTCTCCCGTTAGCTCACACTGCAACGGCCGCTCTAAAGTATTCACTGTCCGACTCACACAAGCAGCTGATACATATCCCCAGTTCCCCTTAAAGGAATGGTATGCTCATGACACTCATTTTTAAATAATTATCATCCGATAAAACAGACCAGTCTCTGCCGGTCTTTTTTTTTATTTTTTTAATCCGATGACATTATCAGTGATTTTAAACTGATTAATTACCGAAATAACATCAACACTGTGGGCGGCGCCATTTTACTGGACGTGACGTAAACCATGCGTTTGGTTTCGAGGACACGTTGATGTTCATGTTATTTACTGTAGTTACTCTCTTCAAATATGCCTCATTGTATCGCGAAACATTGACACAATTCTGATAGGAACAATCCACGGAATGCTCGGTTCCATCTGTTGCCAAAAGGTAAGCGTAGGAAGTACGTTCGGAGGCAGTGGCTAGCGAAATGTGGCCGGCCCGAACTGAAAGATCCACAGGCGCATGTATGCAGCGAACATTTCAAGTTTCCGGACGACTACTCTGAGAGTATGATAAAACATAACATGGGATTTATTGAACAACCATTACTTAATGGAGATGCAGTACCATCGGTCTTTCTGGTGTCATCACCGACCAGGACACCAGTTCGGCCAGTTGAGAAATCGCCCTCTGCAAGTGTGAAGCGACGGAGGACCAGAAGTAGTGCTCGGAGTAAGAATAAGGTATGTTATAGCGCATTTCCATTGCAGCGGGTAACCCCGTTTAAACGTCCTTTATCGTCCAGGCCAGGCCAGTTTTTGGTGGCCTTTCCATATAGCGTAGTACCGGCTAGTGGGTATTTTCCCCCAGTTTTTCCGGCCCCATAAAATCGTGGTTCTAGGTACACCATTAATGTACAGGTCTTCCTACTCGCCTCCCGAAATCAATTGCACGAGTAAAGGGATCGTCTCCAGCAAGATCACCGTGCTGTTCATCCTCATCGTCACTGTCCCTGGATTCCTGACGGTTCTGACTACTTGGCTCGAACCTGTATGGCTGAATTCCCCCATCCAATCTCTTCATATTGCTCAAAACTTCTTCCTCGGCTGACGAGTCCGAACTCAAATACTCCGCCATGTTTTCGTGTGTTTACAAAGTGAACGCATGGATGACGTCACGACCATCACGTGATTACTGAAAATGGCCAAAATGGCAGCGGCCTGACGGAATATACAGGTTTTGATAAAAAAGAGCTATAAAATCATTATTTACCGGGGAATATCGCTGATTTCTTCAGGGTATGGTTTAAACATAATGTTTCACTAAATACTGAAGTTTTGATTAATTATCTAATGAGTGGAGCATTCCTGAATGTGTGTCAGTCTGAATTGACGATGTTTGGCATCACAACGTTGTTATGAAAGTTTCTCTGGTATAAAATGGGTGATGTTAGCATAGCAACCGAAGCTAAACTGACTACTTGCTATTGCTATCCTATTGTGGCATAAACCGTTTTCTACAGGCACATTTTACCGGCGTATTTTTATTATGATTCTACTTGTGATAGTCGGACACGACAACCTGTGCAGCCCATGTATTGATTCCATCCGATAGCTGCTATAATACAAAACAAAACGTCTGCCTCTCTCCACAATGATCAATAACAGTGAACGGATGGTCAAAGTAAGGTACAAATAAACAGAATCACACGAAGCCTGGTTAGTGTTGCCTGACTTTATAAAGTGTGTTTATAAGCACTATGCTTGTCGGCAAGCATGACAGTCGACCCATGTTCAGAGGAGGTGGGTTTAGTTTCCTGCACGCCTCGACGTAAGAGAGACGTAAGCGACGCCACCTCTTAGCTCCGAAGCTCTTGTTTCTAGACCGACACATTTTTGGAGCTGGAAGTGAACCGGATTCCGGAGCTAAGAGCCGGCGCCGCTGCGGTGTGAACAGGAAAAACCGGCGCTTTTCAGGCTCCAGCTCCGAGCCGGAGCTGAAAAAGCGCTGGTGTGAAAGGGGCATAAGAGGCGGCGCCGCTGCGGTGTGAACAGGAAAAACCGGCACTTTTCAGGCTCCAGCTCCGAGCCGGAGCTGAAAACGCGTTGGTGTGAAAGGGGCAACAGAGAACTACTATGCTCACTACTTGTAGCACTGCGGGATTTGAAATCAAATATGAAGTGCTTTATAAATGGAACCCATTATTATTATTATTATAGAACTAGTTGCTAAAACAAAACGCGGGAGTGTACCGTTAGCTAATGTTAGCTAGCTGACATTAATGTTGCACATTACACTCGTTTAACACTCACCGAAACATTGTACAGCCGTTCCCGCATGCTGGCTCTTACGGAACCGACTAACTCCCCTTTTGTGTAATAGCAGCTCTCAACATGCCCAGACGTGTAATGATTTTCACCTGGTTCAATACTTTTCACCTCATTCTGGTGTTGTTGACGTGTATTGTGTGTGTGTGTGTGTGTGTGTGTGTGTGTGGGGGGGGACAAGTTGATTTGTCTGCGCCATCTTGTCCCAATGGCCTTATTTTTGCGGGAGGAGCGAGGATCGATAATGGAGGAGCGATAATCGAGGAACCAGCAGACCATCCTCCGATTAAATCCTCAGACACTCGCCCCGCCCCCTTACTGTGTATCGCTCACTGATTGGACGATGCAGTGCATGCACTGATCTGATGCTTCTTGACATGAGAGCCGTTTCCCAGCGGAGTGAAGAAAATACATGAACCTCACGGGAGTCACTCCTCAGTTTATACCGTGTTTTGTTTCAATTCATGTTTCATTTAGTTACAAATATGTGATATATCTGAACAACAAAGTGGTCAAAAATCATTTTATTCATTTTTTGGAAACATTTTCATGATCACTTTTTTCGTTTTACATTTTCATTTATTGTCATTTCCATTCAGTCAGTCATTAAGTGCTATTAAAATGTTAATTTGCTACATATCCACACAAACAAACAAAGTGTGCAATCCAATGAATGTGAATCTAACTGGGTTTTGATAGATAACATATCTCTTTTTCTTCTCTCAATTATTTTATTTCTATTGTGTATATTAATCCAATATTAATCAAACTAATGTTCGTTTATACATTTTAAGAATGGCGTTTATCTTTTTTGAGAATGAGTTCTTATTTTATTTCATGTATTTGGGTCTACAACAGATGATACAAATGTTTGTGTCAGTAAATGTGTACTAACAGAGGCGGGGGGGGGGGGGGGTGTGTGGAAATAATGGGGACAGAGCTGGCTGCTGTCAGACGATCAGCTGTGCGGCGTCATCACAAACGGACGTCGCTTCACATGAGCTCCGGAGGAAAGGACGTCCTATTGCTCTTAAAACTCATTTCCCTGCTTCTCGTGGTTTCCTTGCGTCTCTCCATACTTCCCATGGTGGGAGGGACTAGTCGCAGGGAAACGACGCAAGTGAGGGACGCAAGGAATCCATTTAACCGAAGTGAGAAGGGCCCACAGTGTTGGTGGGCACTGAGGTCGGCATGAGCCTCATTAAGGTCTCAATGGGATTATATTAACACACACACACACACACACACACACACACACACACACACACACACGTGAGAACTGGGCATTACCTACATTTATCCCATTAGGATCATTAACAAAAACAGTTACCTGACCACCTTTTGTCCCCAAATCGTATGTGGGCCCCAGGATGTGACCAAAACAAACTCAGAAATACACACAAAAAGCAGGGAACTAATAATAAGGGCACCCAGCAGCAGCAGCAGCACCTTTCCAATCTGTTTTCTAAACAGTAGTTGAACATAACACAATCACAAGCAGAAGACATACTGAGATCAGTTGATCTTGTACAGGTTGCACAAGACAAATGTGTCCTAAATTTAGCTAAACCCTTCAAGAGACCACATTACATGATTTCAAATGGTTGAGATAGCCGAGTTGCAAAGCAAACAGTGCATTAAAGGAGCAGATTTGAAGAACTAATTCATCCATCTGTTGACAAACCGAACATGGGGCCAGCGTGCACTCACTGCGATCCAATTGGCTTCCTGCCCCCTGCGGCTGTATACCATTTTAAGTGTTTATTTGACATGCAGCATAAAACCTCTGACTTTACACTGCAGCAGGGGTCAGTCAGGCAAATACAAATCCTTGGTGCAACGATCATGCAAAGACATGACTCGCGATCAATCAGAGCTGTTAGACTAGAGGCGGATGACGCAGGGGGAATGAATCAGGCTGGATATGAGGGGATAAGCTTAATTGATCCTGCA